GAGGAGCGATTGTTTATTGTCTGAAGCAGAAGCGTGGCACATCTGGGGTGGCAGGTGGTCCCCAGCCCTTTCCAGATACAGCTTAAAAGCAGCAGCTCTGGACATCCCTCTACCATTGCCAGCTACAAATAAGCACGAGAAAGGCAAGGGGCAGAGGGCTCTGCCTCACCGACGGAGGAAAGCGATGGGGAGACCTCAGTAAAACCCCAAGCGTGTTCCGGTGCGGAGCTGCCTCCTCGCCCCGCCGCAGGAACACCCAAGCATCAGCTCTCCCACCCTTCGGGTTTCACGGCAGCACCGCGCTTCCACCCCAACCATGGCGATCCCCGCTTCCAGCCATCAATCAGATTAAAAACAAGCGGGGTGAGAGCAGGGGTGCAGTATCCCGCCCAGTTTCGGGCAGGGCAGGAAGGCTGGAGGCAGAGGGGCACGTTTCGGCGGTCAGCACTCACACTCGCGCGCTTTGGAGACGCACCGGAGAGGAGGGTTAGATGCTGAAGCAATGTCTGTTAGTTACAGCTCGTTACAGTTATTATTTTATGCATCTTGCTGTAAATGCAAAAGGTGAAGTCACTTTATCCATCATTTCTCAGACAGGGATGACAGAGCACGTGGTTTGGCATAGTAAGTTTTAGGCTAGCTATAAATGAATTGCACAATATTTAAACCTGATTAAGTACATGAAAGGCTCAGCAAAGGATGACTTTTCTCCTTACATTTTATACATATATATTATATACACACACACAGACAGGCATTTTATCAGTAGCTGCATTTTAGTCTTGTCAAGAGACGACTGCCTACTGCAGAACGACTGAAGTGACACCCTTAAAAAGGAAACTATTCTTGGTGGGCTTTGCTGTGTAAGAGAAGTTCCTCTTCGGGGTGATTCTCGTGGGTAGGAGTCACAGACAAGCATCACTGGACAGCTGGGGGGGACGGGAGCGAGGGGCTGGGGTTTCGCACAGCTTTGTGCACGAGCTGTGGGCACGAGCTGTGGGCACGCTGCGCTCGCTGCCTGCAGCCCTGGCAGCTGCCTGCTGCAGGCAGGAGATGTTTGAGCCAAGGGGCCGGATCGGATTCTGTTGGGGCTGCTGTTCTAGGACTTGGAGAAAAAATCTGGTTTGTTTAAAGTGCATTTAGAGTCTGAAAAGCATCTCTTGAGAAGGAGTTTTTTCCTGCCCTGCAGCATCCATCAAGCTCCTATTTATGATCCCATCTTTTCCAGGGTCTGCCTGGCCACCTTCCCTGGCTGCCACAGCCCAAGAGGTGTTAGAATGAGCTCAGCTGCCTCCCACTAAGGTGCAAGATCACAATTTAAAGCCCGACCTCCCCGAGCTGCGCAGGGGATTCAAGGGCTGACAGGAGCAGGGATCTCCGCACCAGGAAAACACATGGCCGAGTTTCACCGCGCTTTTTAGAAGCACAAGTGAGCAGGAATCCTTCCCACCAGCCTGGAGGTTTCCTAAAAAGCCTTAAAAATTAGTGCACGCCTCAAAAGGTGACAGGGACAAATCCTGGCCTCGCTGTTTACAGTGTCAGGGAGGGGCAGCAAGATTTGACCCGGAGCCTTACCCAAGAACAGGTCCTCTGAGAAACACTCTGCTGATTTTACAGCCACTTTGCAAAATAGAAGCCTTAAAAAAAACACGGACTCAGGGTGCCAAATCTGTAACGGGGCGGTCGCATCCCGCAGGGAAAACCTGTCCCCGCTCCCCGACACGCGCACACGCACACACACACAGTGCGCCGGGGCTCCTGCCCACGGTCACGCACAAAACACTGGTCTTCCACGTCCAAACGTCACGACACCACACACTGAGAGAAGTTGTTGATCCTGAGCCAGGGTGGAGATTAGGAATCTCTTGGCTTCCAGCATATCAACAGCAGGATTTAGGGTTTCTTCCCCCTGCCCCCAACCCCTCTTTATTTATTTTTTTTTTAAGTGCTAAATCAGCCAGCCACCTGCTAGTTAAAAAGCAAAAGAAAAGGGAGAATTCCTGGGATTGCTTGCCCTTGCTGAGACAGTGGCAAGTGGCTGGGCACTACCAACTGAAAGAGAACACTCACACACGTTGGAAACCTGCGATTCAGGGCTTATTCCAAGAGGGAAGATGGGTGCTGGTTGTTGTTTTTCTCTTTCACTTGTCAGGTGAGGGTGGGGGGGGGCCTTTGGGTGATGTTGTTCTAACGTACACCTATCAGCACAGTAATTAAAAAACCACCACCATACACTATTTCACAGGGAAAAAGAAGACACGTGAACAGACACTCACTACCACCCACAACGAGAGCCCTGCAGGTCAACTCATGGCCTTTTCAAAATGAAAAAAACAAAGAGAAAAGAGGAGATAAGACAATAACGGAGGGGAAAAGAAAAGAAAAAAAATCCAGAATTATCTCGTTACAGAGAACAGGAAAAGAAGAACTGTTATGGTACACTCAGGAAAAAGAAGACACGTGAACAGACACTCACTACCACCCACAACGAGAGCCCTGCAGGTCAACTCATGGCCTTTTCAAAATGAAAAAAACAAAGAGAAAAGAGGAGATAAGACAATAACGGAGGGGAAAAGAAAAGAAAAAAAATCCAGAATTATCTCGTTACAGAGAACAGGAAAAGAAGAACTGTTATGGTACACTCAGACTTTCCAAAGTAGCTGCAGAAACTCGGCT